GGATGGAGGCGGGCGGAGCCTTCGGCGGGTTCATCAGGGCGACTAACGGTCGCATAGCCAGAATGATCAGGCAAAAGGAACGGGAGAGGCTTGTTCGTCTGGCGGGGGTTCACGGGGACTAACGGTCGCAAAAACACGTGAGATAGAGGGAAAGGAGCCGAAGCGTCAGAATGTCGAGGGTCCGTCGGTAGCGGGTCACTCGTGGGTTCAGGGCGACACGCGGTCGCATTTCCATATTGAAGGCGGGTAGGGGATGAAAGGGTGGGAGCAGAGGGCGGGGCGTTCGGCAAGAGAGCTCTCGTCCCCGTGGGCGGGTCTATCGCCGTATTCCCCCTCTCCCCTGGGCCGCCTAGTCCTGGCGGCGGTGGGGGGCGGTCGGGGTTCAGGGTGTCAGCCGTTGAGGTATGACCAGTCGGATGTGAACGTGCAGTGCCTGCGGCAGCCCCATTGCTAGCTTGCACGCCCTGTAGTTCACTCGACTCCCCAGTGGCGGTGGGCGCGGGGCCACCAGCCTCCAAAAATTCGCACCTCAGGACCTCCCCCCTCTCCTCCAGCCCCCGCTCGTCTCTAGGCGCGGCCGCAGACTCGGGATCAGGCACGCGTTGTCCCACCAGCTCCCGGTCACTGACCTCGGGGGGAGCAGGGGGGGGGCACGACAGAGGGCCAGATCAAAGAGGTGTCGTCGGCCATTCGGGGGGGATCGGTCGCGTCGAAGGGCAGCCGAGGGCGGCGCTAGGCGAGGGGCGCCGCCGGGGCGCGCGCGGGGGGCCGGCGCGCGGCCCAGGCGGTGCGTCGGACGCCTCCTTGAGCCAGGCTTGACTTGAGCCAGAGGCTTGAGCCAAAGGGGGGTACGGAGCCTTCTTCGCACACGCGTAAGAGTGAAAACGTTCAGCACCTTGCCACTAAATGTGATGATGTCGTTTGTTGCATCGAGTCGGGCGCTTTGAATGCTGTTGCCCATGATGTTTTTTAGTTCCCTGTCCGTGGGGGCGATCACGGTATATCATTGCACAGCGTCTTTCCTTGGTCTGGCAATTTGCGTTTCTCACCGCCTCCTTGAAGCACTCGGGATCGACTTCTTGGCGAGTTTGTCCGCTCACCGCAGGGTGCTGGTGGACGGAGCGGCCCATGCTTTTTGATAGAAGGTCGGTCATGCTACTCGCATGCACGTGAATGTTTACCTTGATCGCCATTCTGCAGCGACGCGAGCGCGGCAGTTGAGAGCATTGCGAACGGCGATGATACACTTCAGAAGTTAAATTCCAATGTCCGGGGGTGACCATAATTTCGTGGTCAATCCCCATTGAACATTTGTCCTTGCTGTGCACTTTTTGGCATCCAGGCGGGCCTGTTCTCGCGGCTTGGAACGACCTCCTGGGCGCCCTCCAGGCTGCCCCTGGGGGCGAGCTAGACGAGACGACGTTTTGTAGGACCGGCGTGAATCGTGCTGGCAGCGGGTGGTGGATTGCCAACACTTTTGATTTGGGACGCGTCTGTTGCAATACTTTGAGACATGTGCATCGCAAACAGCACGTGCGCATTGTGAAATCTATGTCCCATGTGCGCATTTCGGAACACGTTTCAGTGGCACTTACTTTCACGAGGCGGCCAGCGAGGCAGCGACGCATGCGACAAGAATCGGTCCACAAGCCGATGCCTGATTGGTTGATGCATGACGCTCGTTGTCTAATCATTTTCTCCGAGGCGGTGCGAAGGTGGTCTGAAAGAAATTGCCAAGTCTGGGATTTGTGATACTGCCGGGTCTTGCTCAGGCGTCGGCGGACACGCATATTCGATGCCATATTTTCTACATAAGTCGCGCACGGGAGCAGAGAGCTAGATTGACGGCAGAATTTACCAAGTGGATGGCAGTCGACCCTGTTCTGCGCACCCTTGTCGTTGCTGATTTTTGCACGATTCGCAGCACAGTTGACTTGGAGGGTGCCGAGAGATTGTTGGCCCATCTGCGCGAGTTGCGCGTTGACGTGGTCCGAGAGAACGTTTCCCGAGCGAAGCGGGACCAAAGTGCAGCCAGACAGGTGGAAACAACGGTTGGCGATGCGATCCCTGCGGGTCGCACATTCATGGTGTCTCGTCCGCATGAGGGAGTTGTGATCGATATGGCTGCCCTTTGCGAAGCTGACCGTTTCCAGCTCGACTGGCTGTGGGTCGTAGGCGCAAGCGATTTCGTCGACAGAGTGCCCGCAATCGGCAGTTGTTTGCGCCGAGCCACCCTTGAGCGCCAGGCTGCGCCGCGTTGCAGCCGACGGAGTTTCGACCGGATTTTGCAGGGATGGAACTTGACTTCTCAGAGGCGAGCGATGGGTCGTCACTATTTGGCCTTATTGCGCCTCTGCTTGGCATCCGTGAGCACAGGCTGCACATGTCGCCGGGCACGACTGGCGTGAGAGGTCGTCTGTACAAGCTGCACGTTGGCGTCCTTGCCCAGTTTTCATGGAGGCTCTCCTGGACATTAGCTCTATGCTGATGAGACTTATCCCTTGGGGATGTGAATGTGAATGAAAAGTTGGGTACCAGGGAGGATAATCGCCTTCTTCACGGAGGTATCGCGGTTAGGATGTCTGGATCGATCTTTCCGAGGATCAGAGCTACGATTGGAACTTTGGAGGGGATAGCAATGCAGTTCGCCCCCCCCCTGCCCGTGGTTGCAATTGAACCACATTCAACCCTGTGGATCAACATATACAAGGGTTAAGTGGGGGATGCCTTGTTATCCACGGTTTGCGGTTACAGTTGATGAAGCAGCAATCCCGCAAAACCTTTCAGATTCTTTTCGGCATGCCGTGCCGAATCGCGCGGGGGGCGGATGTAGTGAAGGATTTGCGTGACCTTGGGCGTCCGAACGCGGATGCGACACTGTTGGGGCGCATGTTTGCCCTCATTCTCGAAGCCGCCAGTTCCCGGCAGTTGCGCCGCCGCGACAACAAGCTTTTGTCAACGGAGGGCAGATAGGTCACAATATTGCGGGGGTGTTGGAAGCAATTGCAGATGCACAGAGAAGCCCGAACACGTTGCGATTATTTTTGTTCTTGGATTGTTCAAAGGGCCTCAACGCGTTGTCTTGGAAGTGGGTGCAGGCTGTTTTTGAGCGCAGTGGCCTGCCGCAGCCGCTGTTGCGAGGAATAGTCGCGTCTATGCATTCCCACAGGGCTTTCCTGAACCTGAGCGGGCATATCTTCCCGCCCGTTGTTTTCCTGTCCGGGCGCAGCCAAGGGCGTCCTCTGAGCGCTTACGTGTACATCATTGCATTTGGTTTTTCCCTCTTCCAGGCATCCCGCCTGGTCGGCGTCGTTGGAGTTCGGGGATTCTGCGACGACTGGAAACTTGACGTAAATGTGTCCATCTCGTTGCTGCTGGTGGTGCAATTAATTGGTGCCTTCGAGGAGGCATCTGGGCAGTCCATCAACCTGCAGAAAACCGCTTGTGTTCCCAACCGACTTCTGATTGAGGAAGAACGCGGCAGTTTACAAGCAGTTTGGCCAGACGCGCGCGTGGTGACGAAACATAAGTCCCTTGGTTCCTGTCCTGGCCCAGATGCCAGACTTGAGAATATGATGCGTGGCCCCCTGGACAGGATGCGGGAGCGATTGCGCGTGGTCCGTCGTGCGCGCACCAGCCTTGCTACGCGCACCCTGGTGTGGAAGGTTTTTGTTGAGCCCACGTTGTCGCACGTCGCAGTATATGTTGTCTTTGACGCGCCCGCTGCCGTGCTTGCCGTGGCCTCCGATTTTTGCAATGAGTCACATGGTGTCCATTTCACCTTTTCTGTCACTCGCGCACGTTATTCCGCACCCTTGTGCAGGCACGCGCCCCCTTCCTCGCCACTGTTGCCGGCCTTGTTGCGACAGCCTTCCGCTTGGAGCGGTCTGGGGCATTGACAACGACCCAGGTTTCGTCTTGGCCAGGAATGGGACGCGATGGATTGGCGCGCAGGCTGCGGCCCTTGTCGTTTTCGGGGGTTCTTGGCTTTTCATCGCATTACACGACACACTGTCAATGAGGTTCTCCGCGAGGCGCCGCCATGCCGTGGCGCCGATCGCAGTGCGAGCTGGGCCCTGTACCGTGCTTGATGAGTAGTGAACGACCGCTGGCTCGTGCCCTGGTGGCTGCGCGGTTCCGGGGCGGGCTGGCTTCATTGGGGGCCGGTCGAACGCAATCTGCGCCGCGTGCCATCGACGGTGCCAGGAGAGCACCGGATAGCAATTATGCGCAGATTATTACGCGGTGAGCTCGTTGCCCGGCGGCTTTCTGCAGCCCGTGGGCAGGACGTTCGGCCGTAGCGATTTTGCGCGGAGCCTCGTTCAACGAAAGGAACGTTTGCGCCGTTTTGCGAGCCTTCCGATAGCAGCTTTCCGTCGATCACGCTGACCTCGGCGTGGCCGCACTTTGGTTGCAAACATGTGCAAACGGTGGGCACCAGCTGCAATGCATCCTCTCATTTTGCAGCGTGGTGTTTCGACTGCGTCGCCTGCTCTTGCAAGGTTGGGAGTTCAGTGCGAGAGGGAATTGCTTGCGCACGCAGCTCGACCAATACGTCGCGAGGAGAAAGACGCGCGATCCACGCCCGCTAGCCGCCAGAAGTCCGCGAAGGCTGGGTCACTTGGCCTCCGATGGCGCAGCCAGAGGTCAGGGCGACGCGCGCGGTCGCGCTTCATCCTGCGGTTGCGTGCGTTACCAGGCGGGTACGCGACCGACGCGTTGTTGCGTCATGCGGCAGATTTCTGGCGGACGCCACGAACAATACGGCATATTATGATGGGTTCCACCTTGCCGGCGACCACGCGCTTGAGTGCCCAGCGTGTCGCGTATTGTTCCCAGTGTTGGTGTTTTGTAGGCAAGGCAAGGCGTAGGCGAGCATAGCATGACATGTTGTGTTCGATAGCCGTCGGCTCGAGGAGTTGAGGTGAGAAGCATCACATCACAAGCTCATGTAGATCGTAACATGGTTACGCGGAGCTAGATTTCGATCCACGGACGGAATGGCGACGCTCGAGCAGCTGGCCCAGGCACTCCAGGAGGTGCGCCAGCAGCTCGACGGAGAGCGAGCAGCACGGCTCGCGGCAGGCGGCGCAGGAGCTGGACCGCAGAGAGCAGCTCGGATCGATGGCGGGCAGGAGCAGCGCATCGACCCGCGAGTGCTGAACAAGTGCCCGATCTTCAACGGCAGAGACGAAGCTTGGCAGGAGTGGTCCTTCATCTTCGAGAGAGCGTGCGGAATGGCTGATCTAGAGGACACCCTCGACGCAGCGTCGAGAGACCTGACAGACCTGAAGTTCAGCGTGTTCAGTCCAGAACAGCAGCAGAGGGCCAAGCAGCTCTACTTCCTGCTGGTCAACACAGTCAGGGGCAAAGCGCTGACGCTGGTGAGAGGCGCGGAGAAGCACAATGGCATCATCGCTTGGAAGAGGATCAAAGCTGAGTACGCGCCAGACGTCGGAGGTAGACACACCGCACGGCTGATGGGGATCTTGCAACCAGGCTGGGACCAGAACGCGACAAGCCAGGAGTTCACGAACGAGCGGACAGAATGGGGGACCCGCATCACAGAGTACGAGACGGGAAGCACCGAGACGGTCAGCGACGCGATGAAGATCGCAGCGCTGGCAAGCCATGCTCCAGAATCAGTTCGATAAATGGTGAGACTGGCGACGGGGCCAGCGAACGGACGCGATAAGGAAGTGCAGCAGAGCATCCGAGAGCACCTCCAGCTCGGCAGGACTTTTAACAAGAACGGCAGAAGTGTTGGAGTCGATGACCAGATGGGACCTGCACCGATGGACGTCGACGCAGCTTACAACAGCTGGAACGGTAGCGGAAAGGATCGCGGCAAAGGTGGCAGCGGCAACGGCAAAGGTGGTTGCTTCATCTGCGGTCGGCCTGGGCACGGAGCTGAGAACTGCAGATTGAAGTGCAAAGCCAAAGGTGACGGCTCAAAGGGTAAATGTCGAGGTGGAACAGCAGCAGGACCCAAGACCAGGTTCGAGGGCGACTGCAGGCACTGTGGCAGGAAAGGGCACAATCGGGCCGAATGCAAATCTCGACTCAGAGGAGAGCCACCAGCCAGCGAAGCCAGCGACGGCGGTCATCGAGGAGGTGAATGCGGACAGCGACGACGAGTACGGGTGCAAGCTGTGCGAGCACTGGGGCGACTACAGCGACGTAGGGGGCCAGTACGAGGACACAGGCGAGCACGACGAGGATCCAGAGGTATACCCCTGGGAGGTCGAAGTCCACGAGTGCGAGGATAGCCACGCGCATGGGCACGAGGGCCAGGCCGAGACCACCAACGTCGACGAGGTCGAGCCGCCAGAGGTTCAGGGCTACGACGGCCAAGAGGACGGCGACCAGAGCGACGGTTGCGACAAGTAGGTGTTCAATTTGTGGAGAGAAGGCCTCGACCAGGCAGGTGGCGAGTTTCTTTCCTTGGATAGCGCTTGCGAGGAGCACACCTGCCCGTGGGACTTCGCCGAAGATGGAGTTGATGTCGGACCTGGTGGAGTTCGGCTTCGAGGCGCGAGCGGAGACAAGATCCCGTCAGGCCGGAAGATCCTTGTCGAGTATGTGGCGCTGGACATCAACGGCCACGCGATCGTCAACGCCAAGACGCCGTTCGTGCAGAGCGATGTGAAGAGAGCGTTCCTGAGCGTCGGCAAGCTCGCGAGGAACGGCGTCGACATGCACTTCAAGAAAGACGACCCGTGGCTGGAGATCGACGCCGACCGAGGACGAGTGAAAGTTCCAGTGCGCATGAAGGGACGCACGCTTGGACAACGAATCAAGAGGAAGCTATCGCCCAGCAAGCCGACGGCGATGATCGCGCCAGTCGGGGACGAGGCGATGCAGCTGGCACCAGGGAGCGCGGCGGCATCAAGTTCGGCAGCGGTTTCGAGCTCAGCGGCAGCAGCGGCGCCGCAGCCTGCGGCAGTCGCATGAGCACCTCAAGCGCCGACCCAGGTGCATCAGAAAGCGCTCGAATGGAACGAGAAGCAGAGCAGCTAGCTCAGCAATGGCTCGAAGTTCGACAGCGCGGCGAGCCAGTCGGCCAAGGCGGGCTCTTCAGCGGCAGCTCGGTGGACGACATGCGGAAGAGGCTGGAGGGGCTCAAGGCCCCGATCTGGGGTGCCGCGCAGCAGCTGCGGGGGCGCTTGGCGCACGCGGAGGCGAAGCTCGAGTTGCAGGTCAGGGGCGACAAGTGGCTCGAGGAGCGCGCGAGGGAGCCGGCAGAAGCTGGAGGCCAGGGCGAGGTCATCGCACCACGAGCTCCAGCTGAACCGACACCAGAAGAGCGAGCACGACACGAGGTCACGCACCTGCCTTATCAGCCGCGGTGCGCGTGACGCGTCATGGGTATGGGCATGGCCAAGCCGCGCGAGCAGAGGCCAGAGGGGACGAAGATGCTGCCAGAGTTCGAGATGGACTTCTGCTACCTGCTGCAGGACCCGAAGAGGAGGCACACCCCTGGAGACCAGGCCTGGGCGACGACGCTGGCATTGGCGGGTACGGCAGCGCAGAACCCTATGGTAATCGCAGTCCCGACGAAGTCCGACGAGACGAACTACATCTCATCAGCCTGCGCGCCCTTCGTCAAGCGGATGGCCTACCCGAAGGCGATACTCAAGGTGGACCCCGAGCAGGCGCTGGGAGTGATCGCAGAGAAGGCGAGGCAGAAGTGCCTGACCGACGGGATCAAGCTCGAGATCAAGAAAACGCCGAGGTTCAGCAGCCAGAGCGTGGGAGCTGCGGGCAGAGCTCAGCAATCAGCTGAGGGCCAGATCAGGACGATGAGGCTGGACGTGGAAGCGCGGTTGGGCACGCAGATCGACCCCTCCATGGACATCTGGCCCTGGATAGTGGGGCATGCTGGCTGGGTGCTCGAACGGTATCACGTGAAGGCGAACCACAGAACAGCGTACGAGGACAGCTACGGCAAAGCGTACCAAGGAGAAGTTCTGAAGTTCGGAGAAGCGGCGCTCTTCAAGTTATCGGTCACGGCGACGGGCAAGATACGAGGTGGAGTTAGGCAAGGACGAGCTGACGCCAGGTTCGAGAGAGGGATCTGGCTGGGCAAGACGATCGAGTCGGACGAGCACTTGCTCGGGACCAGCGAGGGCGTGTTCACCACCAGGACGGTCAAGAGGGTGCCAGTCTCAGAGCAGAACCGAGCGGACCTCATCAAGGCCATCAAGGGCACGCCGTGGGATAGGTTCGCAGGCAGACCGATGGGAATACCGAGAAAGAGACCCAAGGCGCCGCAGGCTGTGCCACTTGCGGTGCCAGGGCCGCCCGCGGCCGCAGGGGCATCCGAGCCGAGAGCTCAGGTGCGCCCGGAGCCACAAGGTGGCGCTGCAGGAGCGGCAGCCCCAAGTCAGGCAGCAGCTCCAGCTGGGGGCGACGGTGCAGCTCCAGCTGGGGGCGACAGTGCAGCAAGCATGGATGCGAACGCACAGCGACGCCAAGACAAAGCTCAGTCAGCAGGGCCGGCTCCGTCAAGACAGAGACCACCACCATCGCCCATCAAGCGAGACGTGGAGGAGTCGCTGGGCATCAGGACGCCGACCGAGAAGAAGGCGAGGGTGGACGAGTTGGTCACGATGGACGCGGAGGAGTACCAGGCGGACTTCGACGACGGCGCCGACCTGCAGGAGGACTGGGACGAGTACCAGGGCGCTGACCCTGACACAGCGAAGGCCATTCTCAATGGGAAAGGAGAAGGAGATGAACGCGATGGAGGAGTTCGACATCTTCGACGTTGTTGATAAGATCCCTGATGACGCAGACCTTCTGTCCACGAGATGGGAAAACGTACCAAGAGGCACAGACGAGTGGAGATGCAGATTCGTGGCGAGAGAGTTCAAGAGCGACGATCCTGACCTAGAAGGGCTGTTCACGGCAGGAGCTACCAGCAGCACTGGAAGGCTCATAGACCAGCACGCGGCTGCAACTCGATGGTCCTGGACGCCCAGAACGCGCACTTCCACGCCGACGAGGACGAGGAGGTGTACGTGGATCCGCCAGTTGAGCGGGTCAAGCGGCACCGCGCTCGCGGCGGCAAGATCGAGAGGCCGTGGTGGAAGATGAAGAAGCAGCTCTACGGGAAGCGCAAGGCTTCGAATAAGTTCAACCAGTACGTGACGGACCAGACCAAGATGCTCGGGTTCGACCAGTGCCCCGAGCAGCCCAGCATCTTCAGAAGGCCAGGCTCGACGCTGGTGTTCGAGGTGCATCAGGACGACATCTACTCGTCAGGGAGCGACACGGAGTTGAAGTGGCTGAAGGAGAATTTAGCGCCAGTACTCAAGCTCAGAGAGGCGAATAGCATGAAGGTCGGATCGGTGTACTCGTACCTCAGAGCGACGCGCACCAGAGTCGATAAGCACACGATCCACATCGCGCCGAGGCCAAAGTACATCGAAGACGTCTTGCGCGAGCTCGGGTTGGCCAACTGCAAGGACGTGCCGTGCCGACGCCGATGGTCAACACGCGGAAGAAAGAGGACCTGGAGTTGCTAGTCGTGAGCCCAGTCGACAAGAAGCCGTACAACAAGTGCGTTGGGATCCTCAGGCATCTTCTGAAGTACAGGCCAGACATCCCGTAGGCAGTTCACGGGTTGAGCAAGTCACTTAGCGCACCGAGGGGCCCAGACATACAGGGGCTCAGACGGTTGGCAAGGTATTTGAAGGGCACGGCAGACTACGGGATCTTGGACACGAAGAGCGACGACACCGAGTACCTGGACGCCTACTCAGACGCAGACTGGGCAGGAGACGTTAACGACAGGAAGAGCACATCAGGCTGCGCGCTGAAGTTCGGCACGACGAACCTCAGGGAGTTCACGAAGGGCCAGAATTGCCAGGCACTCCCTCAGGAGAGAGCGAGTACTACGCGGCAGCCACCACGGTGGCGGAGGGCCTCCACACGCAGAAGCTGATGGAGTTCATAGGGTTCCCATTGGAGCTCAAGCACAGGCTGGGCTCGACAGCGGCTCGCGGTATCATATCAAGGACTGGATGTGGAGCGCTCGAGCACATAGAGACGAGGCTGCTGTGGCTGCAAGCGAAGTACGACGAGAAGAAGCTCAAAGTTCACAAAGAGCGGACTGCTGCCAACACGGCAGACGGCTACACCAAGTCACTGCAGAACGCGAAGTTCGTGGAGCGGAGAGCGAGGCTTGGCATGGGATTCGACAACGGAGACAGACCCGAGACCAGCAAGCGTGAGGCGCTCAGTGGCGACAGTGGCCAGTGGGCAGGCGGAAGCAAAGGACCAAGGGCGTTGTTGGCGGCAGCGATGATGCTCATTACGACGAAGGCGGAGAACCAGATAGCAGTGGTGGGCCGCTACGAGGTGGCGAGTCCGACGACGGTGACACCATGCACAACATCACAGATGAGTTGGGCCATGCTGCTCATGATCATGATGATCAGTCCAGTGGTTGGCTGCGTGATGCACCACTACGCGGTTTAGAAGCTCACGGAGTTCCGCGGCACTTCCCTGGAGGCCGTCGGGGAGGTGCGGGCGAAGAAGCCCAAGCTGAAGGGCGCGAGGCGGGCCGCGGCTACACAATCGATGACGACGTACGCCAGAGGCCGACAGCAGCCCCGTTTCATTCTGACTCCTACCGCATGCGAGGGTTGCTGGAGTCAAGACGAGAGACTCGATCGGAACGACAGGTGAAGGCTTGAGCGGCTGCGGCAAGAGTGAACCCACCTGGCGGTCGGACGCCAGATTGGGCGGTCGAGCCAGGTTGCCGCGCGGAAGCGGCGCGGAAGCAGGCGCACAGGCGGCGAGTTTCAGACGGGGTGGAAAATTGTCCCGCATGACCTCCGCAAGCTACTGTTTGCCGAGGGGGCGTGTTGGTGTTTTATAGGCAAGGCAAGGCGTAGGCGAGCATAGCATGACACGTTGTGTTCGATAGCCTTCGGCTCGAGGAGTTGAGGTGAGAAGCATCGCATCACAAGCTAACGTAGATCGTAACACCCAGTGGACTCTGTTTCGGAAACAGGAGCATATACATTACCAGTGGCAGGCTGTTTTTTTTTTTCAATCCCAGGATTTTGTTTGGGTCGGGGACGGCGCCGGGGCGGTGTGGTGTATATTTGTTCCCCCGATTCCCCGGGGAAACATCGACGAATGTATGCGCCAGGGTCCCGTGTGCACTAGGATCCGCTCTCCAGTTCAAATTTCAATGCAGGGCCTGAAGAAGCGTCGGTGTATAGAGTTCGATCCCCTACTGTTTGTCAGTAAATCTGCTCCTCTCCGCCTCGTACTCAATTAGAACTTAACTTAGTTTGCATGCAATGAACTGTCCGCGTGAACTGAAGCTGCGTTTCTGCAGCTGTATAACTGCTCAAACCAGACGACCTCGGCTGGCAGGAGAGAAAAGGAGCGCGCTGGGGCGCGCGGGCGATTCGTCGTCGTCCGTTCTCGGCCTTCCTCCTCCCTTCCTATTCCTGATAGAGTGGTTTAGCTTAATGGATATCTGTTTTATCAATGTCTCATCCCGCCTCCGCTCTCCCTGAGCAGAGTGAACATGAGATTCTAATTCCGTCGTCATCTTACCCCGATTCTCAGAGGAAAGACTGGTTATCAGCCGAATCGCGCGACTCAGTCGACGCGGTGCCATTAGATATACAAGAAGACCTTTCCGTCGTGCCCCGCGATTCAGCCGCTGCGGGAGAGAGCTATGATAAGACGGACATCGTGCCTAATATCTCGAGAAGCGCTGAAGGGCGCGTTGAACAACATGATGGACACGATACATATAGAGTCGGTCCTATTCAAGACCGAATCCCTTCTTCAACTATCGCCCATCGGATCATGAGGGAGAGAAGTACCGATGGGATCACCGAAATGTCGGTAGACGTATCCACAGTAGGGGCTCCGATAGGTGATCGTGAGCAAACCCCCGACCCTCACGGGCGAGACGGCGTCACGCCAAGGCCCAGGCGAGGTGCATTCTCTTCGAGGTTGAGTGCCAACCCGACGGAGTCGATAAGTCCCATCCAGAATGCTCCACTAGCTACTGCCATTGCCGCTGGCGAAGCCAGCCGGCCAGGGGAAGCCCAAGGGAATCCGAATGCGTATCGTAATATCCCCGTAGATTGGGCGGGTATGCATGTTACTGCCCCAACCCCTATAGCACTTAACGGACAATTCGGTCAGGATAGCGATGATCCGATAGACAAAGATCACGAAATATATCCCATGGAACAAAATTTCGACAGTATCAATAATGATATTTCCCTGAGCCGAGCGTTGTCCGTGATGATGGATGAAGGCGCCCCTGCTCGAGACAAAAGCTGGTCTCCAGATGGATCCGATGAAGACACCAGTATCCTGACGCCTCAGGCGGACAGGACGGAGACTCAAACGAAGCATGATAGGGAGGCCATTGGGCGAACTCCTGCGCCTAACCTCAAGAAACAACGGAATGAGGACTATGAGCTAAACGTCTCGCCATTAAAGGAAGGCTTCTTCCGTAACGCCACCACCTCAGGTGAGTGGCAGCCCACCATTCCGGCTGTTGTTGAGGATGAAGAAATGGTCGGACAACAAGATATATATATATATATATATATATATATATATATATATATATATTCTCAGCTAATCAAACAAGACGAAAAGGATGAGGAGCTCTTAAATGCGCCCAAGCCACCAGAAAGCACTTTTACTCGCCCAAGATCGAACGCTTCGAGCAGGGGAAGACCCAGAATACCAAGATCAGGGGCGAGGTCTACTTCTAGGAGCAACAGTACAGTTTCAATGATGGAGGTATGTTGGAATCCCAATCCTGGCTGTGCGCCTCAGGCGGAGAACAGATGCCCAGGAACAGCCAACAAGCCTGAAGGCGCATGTAGGAACCCAGCGTGCAGGAATTGCTCCGACGTTTGCAACAAGTGTAACATACAATGGCTGTGCACAGAGTGCTACCCAATGGACGAGCACAAGTGCACGTACCTCTTCCTACAGTCGATTCAAGACCAGGCCAGGCTAGCAGAGGCTAACACTCAGAGAGAGCTTCTGACTAATGAGGCGCATCTGGCTGAAAAGGGCTCGATTGGACAGAGAAGAATTAGTTGAAGCTGTGATCGAAGCCAGAAAAACGCTTGAGGCTGAGCAGATCGCCATAGCTATGGCCGCTAGAGAGCGTGAACAAGCGCTGATAAAACATCTGTACAATCAGACTGAAGTCGTGAAATGGCAAGTGGAGAGGGAAGCATAATAAAAATACAGGGAATTGTTGACTTCGGAGAGACGGGCCGCCATGATGGCGAACGAAGAATCTGCGGACGCCCACGCGGTTGCCGCTGCCGTCGCAGTGGCCAACATAGAAGGAGAACAAATCGCGACAGCCGTGGCGGAACGAGAAAAGCAGGGATTACAAGAAGAGCTCAGAGCCGCCAGGCTGAAAGCAGACAACACCCAAGCTGTAGCTGCGAAGATAACCGACCAGAACAATCTCTATCTGGAAGAGCTTAAATCGCATGAGGGGGCCAGATCGTCTCTTCAGCGTATAATGTCGAGCAACACCAAACGCCCGCCGGCTAAGCCGTTCGGGTCGAACATGCACCAGCTATCGACGGCCCAGTCGTCGAGCATCGCATCTGCCCCTACGCAATTCGACCAGACGACCGCGGCAAATGCGGGAGCATCGACCATGCTGGTAGGAGGTGCAACACGCCCTCCTCCCGATGGGAATGGAATCACGCTTCCCGTGGACCAGTTTTGTGCCGTTTGTGTTCGTCCAAAGACAGACAACTGCGTCGGATGTGGCAGCTCGGCTTGCGACGAGCATATCGATGCGAGTACGAGGAGATGCTCTAGATGCGACCTGTGGAAGAGTGAAAGGTCAGCGGCTAACATGCGAGAAGAAGTGATTGCATTGAACGCGGCTAACAGAGAGATAGGAAAGATGAGACTTAAGGCTATCATCACTGACCCGAATCCGTATTCTGAAACTAAACGCGAAGTCGGACTCACATCGAAGTCGTTCGGATTTCCGTTGTTTTCGCAAGAAACCCCCGTGAGGCCGTTGTTGCATCAACGCTATTCTGTCCCAGGACCTGCCCTTGAAGGCCCGGCTAAGCCGAGCACCGCTGAAAATGGACCCCCTGTAGGGATGAGGCTAACTGGACTTAACGAAAATAACACTCTTGCCAATATCCGCACAACCTATGGAGACGACCCTAAGAGAACGACGGCGACTAAGTCGTCGGGCAATGCAGGACAGGGCGGAGAAGATGACGACAAGAGCGACGCTCCCAACACTGAGATCGTATCTTCGCACGAAGATGATCGAGGCAGAGGACCACGAGGATCGTCTCCGGGGAGTCCAGGGGGGTCAGAAACCTCTGATGGCGGGGGTGGACGCAGCGGGCCTCAAGGCCCCGGCGGACCGCACGACTCGATAGTAATTGACGAGAGCACGCCGTTAGATCAGTGGAGACAGGTTGGTAACCACCAGAAAATTGATCTGTTGGACATCCCTGACGGTGCGAACATTCGTGAGTGGAATATGCACGCAATGCGCTCCATCGCTGGGTCATCGCCCGAGAGCCAGGCAGCGCAGCACTGGATTGCCGAGGTAATGGATCCAGCCGTGGAAGATGAGCAACTCAAAGATGCTGGACGATTCCAGCGTCCCGACCTTATGATCGCAACGAATCTGATCGAGAAATTCAACAAGATGCGAAATAATCGATATCAGCCTCCCCATCATACTCATTCCCTTCAACAAGTTCCTCGCATGGAATTCAGCGCCCAGGCCGAGGGAAGGCTCATGACTGGACGCGAGATGGTGCGGGCGATTTGTCACTGGTGTTCGGTAAGGTCGGAGTTGGGACAACATCGCATTTCGCGTGACCTCTTCAAAGTGAAGATAGACCCGCACAAGCCTGATGCTGACCTGCATCATGTCTACAATGAATGGACAGACGTATATCAACAGCTTTATGGCGCCAAGCCTCCGTCCGATGAGATGAGGGCCTCGATTCATGCACACTTTCTTGAGCAATGCAGAAAGCCGAACAAACTGGATTTTGTATGTGAATTATATGACTTGTCAAAAGACAGACCGGGAGGCGTCGAGACTTACGAGTGGCTGATGGAGCAGATTGAAGAAATGATGTTGCGAGAAAAAGAAGAGTGGAATATCAGCGTGCATGAGGGAACCTTAAACCAACGTGCCAGACAAGCACGATTCGGCGGAGGCGGAGGCAATGACAATCGGAGGAACGCAGGCAATAAAGCCGCCCCGGCAGAGATTGCCATTAAGTTGGGACAATCCTCGGATGTCATGAAAAGCGGGAGAACCAAGGGCGAAACCACGTGCAGATACGTTA